AAAATTCCTCTATCAAATTGCTTTGCAGAGTAAAAAAGTTAATTCGTCTGAATCAGGAGATCAAGCACTGTTTACAAGTGAAAAATATCTTTAAAATATAGTGGTGGATTCTGATGTGAGATGACAACACGGGATGGACTATTTTACTGGATTATTACGGATTATAGACTTGTCTTTTGGCCAGAAGTGACAGTTTAAAGTATAAACGCCTTAATAATGGATTTGTTTCTTCTTCTTTTTTGATGAAATCCGAGAGCTTTCTGACCCTGCATAGACAGCAATGCAACTGACATGTTCAAGACCGAAAAAGGTAGTAAGGATATCGTTAATTGTCCATGTAACATCTGTGGTGCAACTGTAATGTTACGAAGCTATGAGAATACTTTTTGTGCACAAAGAAAACAAACAGACTTTATTCAACAATTTTATCTTAAAAATATAGTGGTGGATTCTGATGTGAGATGACAACACGGGATGGACTATTTTACTGGATTATTACGGATTATAGACTTGTCTTTTGGCCAGAAGTGACAGTTTAAAGTATAAACGCCTTAATAATGGATTTGTTTCTTCTTCTTTTTTGATGAAATCCGAGAGCTTTCTGACCCTGCATAGACAGCAATGCAACTGACATGTTCAAGACCGAAAAAGGTAGTAAGGATATCGTTAATTGTCCATGTAACAACTGTGGTGCAACTGTAATGTTACGAAGCTATGAGAATACTTTTTGTGCACAAAGAAAACAAACAGACTTTATTCAACAATTTCTTCTCTTCCGTGTCAGTCTTCGCTGCGCGTTCACAATAGTGCCCTGTTATCTTTGAGCACAAAAAGTATTCTCGTAGCTTGGACTATTTTAACAATGTCCTTACTACCTTTCTGGCAATTCTAGGCCTTGAATGTGTCAGTTGCATTGCTCTCTATGCAGGGTCAGAGAGCTCTCGGATTTGATCAAAAATATCTTAATTTGTGTTCTGAAGATAAACTAAGGTCTTACGGGTTTGGAACGACATGAGGGTAATTAATGACAGAATTTAAATTTTTGGTGAACTATCCCATTAATAATGTAAGGAACCTTTAGTGCAATGAAAAGGTTCCATGGAATTTAAAGGTTCTTTATGGATCCATAGATTCCAATAAAAAACTTTTATGTATTATCCTGAATAACAAGTAACAAGGCAGATTTGTGGAAAACACTTTTTTATTAATTAAGTTAAACCTCCCGTACAAGAATACTTTGATATACATAGGGAGCTGAGGTAGCAACATTTACAAACGAGAGGGCAACTGGCTTGTTAAAGGTTTGAACAAAGATTTGGTCAAGCTAACTGGAAATCAGCAATGGAAATATGTTCTAGTCATGATACATGTTCAGGATGCAGCTTTTGATGACACCCATGTATCTGTCCCATACTACTTGATGCCTGAGGAAAAAAAATGTTTAGATTTTTTTTTAAATATGAGAAAGATCACAAACACACATAAATGCATATATACTAACCTGAAACCCTCAAGTGTGTGTACAGAGCTGTTGTAGTGTGTGAGGAAAAGTCTGAGATCTCCAATAGTCCATTTATCTGACCGGCACGGTTCAATGAACTGAGAGAAGAAGCGATAATCACTCTGTCACACTCAATCTGGGAGTATTCAAGGACAAATATCACCTCAAAGCATAGAGTTTATCTCCAGTGTCCTTCACCACAAGCTCGATGAACAGATCTCGGACGTCTTTGGTGTGTGTGAGTGTGAGGCGATGTTAACTAGAGCTCTTGACAAGTTCTGAGGTTTACCACAGCAATAAGCATCCATGTAATCCAACATGAATAAGACAAATTAATAATCAAAAAATATGTGTATATTACTCCAGTCTTCAGTGTCAAATGATCATTAAGGGGAGACACTGCAGGCAAAAGCACTGTTTTTTCATGCACCTGTCAATTGTGAGATTTTGGCTTTTTGACTTTTCATAAAGTGTTTTTTCAGACTAGTGGAAAGAAAACATCCAAAAGACACTGTTAAGTGTTTCTTTTATAGCACTTTATCTATTTGTGTCGATAGATTTCAATTACAATACATATCTTTAAAGGCCGTTTTCTCAAAATGATTTTTTTCTCCTACACTGAGCCATAAATCTCCACTTCAGTAGCACTTACACACACCAAACTTTAAATTTTTATTCCTGTCTATATTCTGAAGGTTTTTACAGAGGGATTTGTTCATATATAATTTGCTTGATTATATACAACATTTTATTTCCCCAAAAATTGTGAAAATATATTGTTTTCTGGCTGTTCCAAGTATTTTCAGAATTATGGAGTGACAAAAAGAGATACCCAAAATTCCCTCTGTAAAAACATTTGCCTCTAATATGTAAAAAATAATAAACAAGAATTTTGAAACTGACGTCATCCAGTGTTCAGATTTTTGTACTGGAAATGTATGCAAATTAGCGCATATTTCATTAAATAATGCCTCATTTGCATATTTAAACATAATATTTTAGAAAACTTGTAATACAATTTTTTTTTGCAATTATCAATGTAATCAATCAACTGGGTAAGTAAGGTGATAATTAGTAGTTAATTTTTTTTACCCTATTCACCTGCAGTGTCTCGCCTTAAATAATTCTAAAATAGGGTTTTTTGGGCTCTCTGATGAATAGAAAGACCACAATCATTTATTTGAAATTGAAATCTTTCATAATTTTATAAATGTCTTTAATGTCACTTTTGATCAATTTAAGGTGCCTTTGCTGAATAAAAATATTATATAAAAAAAAAAAGTATGAAAAATGTTTACAATTAAAAACATTCATGCTTCTCATCTTAAAATTGGCCTCCATCTCACTAAAGACTTACATTTTTCCTCTAAGCTGTGCACACACCAAGCTATAATGTTTGTAGAAAGGAGAGATATGTTAAGAGATAGCGTGTCATCAGCATTACAAATAATGACCATCTGAACTAATTATTTACATGCCTTTTGTGTTGGTCCAGCATGTCTTTATCATTAACCAAACCTTTCAAGTCTTTCAAGTCATGCAGAAACTCTTTTTCTAGATCAACATCCATGTCTTCCATCACGTTGTCTAAATACGGAAGAAAGAAAACAAAGAGCATGAGAATGCATATACAGTTGCTGTGATGCATTTCCTTTCAAATTTATTTTGCTTCATTACTGTTACCTTCTCCCAAATACTGTATTTCCCTAAAAGAATTTAGGGGATACTTCCCGATTTTGCTTACTTAAATTTTACTCACTTTCACCACTGCGTACTGTACAAAGACACTCACCAAATATGATCCGATTGGTGGAATATCATGCAATATGACAGTAGTGGATGCTGTAGTAATGTAAATGACAGAATTTTCATTTTCATTTTGAACTTTATCTTTAAGCTGAACATCTTACCAACTGCTCCCACAGTCCAGTAGCTGCTGAGCTAACCGGCGCAAAAGGCAAAGTCCTGGAAAGACAAGTATTGTAGCTTTCTCTTCCCTGACTCAAAACGGCTGTTAGCAAAGAACACTATGGCAGCATAGTCCCTGCAGAGAGACATGGCTGAGTCAGTGAGAGGACAGGGAGAGTGTGAAAAGTCTGCTAGGAACAGAAGAGAACGTATGAGGAGAAAGATGAATGGAGGAGAGAGACCAAGCAAAACAGAAAGAGGATGAACACAACAGAAACATACGTTTTAAGATGTGCCTGTGTGTTCTCTAGGTTTACGATTGCTTTCAATTATAACTCTAAAAGCATTCACTGGTGAAGCTGGTTGTATTAAGTCACAATAGCATACATGCATTTACAGAATTGAAGTACATAACCTCTTGTAAATCATCTTTATCACAAGAACAGGTACGAAATATTGTGTTTAGCTCACATTTACGTCCCCTGAATTGGAAAGCTAGAAATGGTCACAATTTTCAATAGGTGGGACAGCTGCTTTTTTTATAGCACTAGCAATATGCTTCATTTGGCCACATGTGTGAAAGTCTCACCTTGTCAGAACATCAGACAGGAGAAAGTGATGCTGTGTGTTCTCCACCAGGGGGCCTTTTAGCTCTTCCACCACTTTAAACACATGCTTGAAATTGTCAAATTGAGAAAATGGTAGAAAGGTTCAAACAATACATCTCCTTGCCAATGAATGAATGAATGAATGAATGAATTAGTTAACAAATTAACAAATGAATGAATTAATATTAAATTAATTACAAAATATATTATTATTTAATATTTAAGTAGTGTACACAACAACATTACTGTAAATAAATAAGTGAATAAAATAATAACAATTATTTAATATTAAACTTATTTTATTCACATATTTATTTACAGTAATGTTGTTGCTGTACAGTACCGTACTGTACACCAACAACATTTCTGTAAATAAATATGTGAATATAATAAAAATAATAATAATTTAATATTTATAAGTATTGTACACTGACAACATTTCTGTAAATTAATGTTAATAAATTAGTACTAAAATAATAATAACAATTACTATGCTGTAATATTTCTATGTATTGCCCACTGAAATTTCTGTAAATAACACATTAATAAATTAGTACTAAAATACTACTAATAGTAAAAAAAAATGTATAACAATAAATAATTTTTATAATAAAAAATCAGTCATTTCATATTTACGTACTGTGCACTGACAAAAAAATGTGTAAATAAATATGTATATAATAATAATGATATTATTAATAATAATAATAATAATAAAACATTTCTGTAAAACAACATTGCTAATCATGCAATATTCATCCTTTCTTTGAGAGGCATTCAAAAATACAAGAGGCCAGAGTGTGCAGCACCTGTCGACGACAGCTCTTGAGTGCAATCCCAGTCTTTGAACTGATGTCATCAAAGTCTTTTTGGTCCCTTTGGAGAGTTTTTTACCCAGCACCTCCCTGGCAAACACACCATCAAACTCATAACACCTACATGACAAATATTGCAACAAACAAATAAGCTTAGCAAAACAGTAATGATGCCCTAACTAATAACTAAAACTAAAAAAACAACAGTATAGAACACAGATGCAAACTAGTATGACCACAGACCTCTCGATAAGCATGGTTTGACAGTGAGGAGGGGTCTGGAGCAGAAGCTGATTGGCCACTTTGGAAGGGGACTGGAGGAGCCGCTCTCACATCTGGAATGATCTGAACTGGTCCATGCAAAACTTCGGCATTGGCTTCACACTCCTGCAAGGCACCTGTTTCCATCCGTATTCTCAGCGCATCTGTGACTATATACCAACATGAAGAATATATCATTACCTCAAGTGTTAAACATTAAAAGCAAGCACTAAGTGTGTATGACAAACTCATATGCAACATATAGAAACCACGTATTAACCTGTGTGTGTCCATCCAACCACAGCTGGTACACATCTTCATCCAGGACAGTGGTGTTCCCCACAAGCACATCTACCTCCATAGACATTTTCTTAAAAAGCATAAAAAATAATATTTAAAATTATATAATAAATAATTTGATATACATACAGTGGTCAAACATAACCTTGACTTGTAACAACAAATGGAATCTCCAAATGGATTTTTACAGTGCATTTGCTACACAAACTGTTGTAATAGACTGTTTATGTTATAGGTGTTTTTATAAGATGGGCAGAGATTTAAAAAGCAATGAGAACTGTAACCTGCTTAGGTTACAATCTTGCTCAAAGAAAATTGACGTCAAGCTGATGATGAAAACGTACCGTTTATTAATGTTTTGCACTGGAAAGTAAGTCATTGTTAGCTGATGTTAAAATACTGCAGAGTGGCGTCTGCGGTATCGCTCTCGCACTGCTGATCTCTTTATGCGCTTTATGCATTAACACAACAAATAATACGCTGACTGATACTGTAATATGTGCAAAGCTGTCAAACTCCTCACAATCGCCTGGATCCAGTTTCTGGTTTAACCCAATCTGATTGCCCTCCGTCGAGCGTTCACTCAGCGTTATTGAGCGTCTGCTAATGTGTGACTGCCACCTGCTGTTAAGGAATAAACAAAGCACAATGTCGTAGCCAAAACAAAAATAGATACACAAAATGTGCAGAAATACATAAACCTAATGGCTGTATTATTTTAATTTTGTGTTTGTGTAATGTTTCTGCCTCAGACTTACATACTCAAGTAGCCTACTTTATTCGGCAACAGCTAAACTTACAACAACAGAGTAATGAAATATGTATTAAGGCATTTTTGGTCAATTAAATTATATTTAATGTTAATACTTGACCCAGTCTGCACAATATCAAACCAAGTCTTGAAGAATTTTTTGCTTGGGAATTGGTTTTCTCCCAAAAGTTATTATTTGTTGTGATGTTAAAGTGGAGCTTCAGTCGATGTTGAAATAATCATATAATTTAGTGAGATTTTGTAAAAAATTGTGATATTGTGAATGTAACATATAATATTTATAAAATGTGATATAATATTTAAATATATTTTATTAAATGTTAATATTTTATTAGGTTTTAATATAATAATAGGCCTATGTAATATTCATATATTTTCTATATTTAATATAATTTATAATGTTTATCAAAAGAATATTATTCATACATTTCTATTAGCTATATACAACTCTTTAAAAGTTTGGTGTCACAGTTTAAAATAAATAAAGTTTTATAAAGCAGGACTGAACTGGCAGCAAAGATTTATTGTTTCAAAAATGTAATTTCAGATACATGCTGTTTATTTAAATGTTCTGTTAATCCAAGAATGCTGAAATATATATATATATATCAATTTCCAAGTGGCACAACCCTTTTTCAACACTGATCATAAAATAAATGTTTCTTGAGGAACAATTTCTAAATGATTTCTGAAAAACGCTGAAGACTGGAGTAAATGGCTGCTGAAAATTCAACTTTGCTATCACAGGAATAATTATATTTTAAAATAAATTTAAAATAGTAAACAGTTCAATTGTAATATTTCAAAACATTGCTAATTTCACTGTACTTTTGAACAGCATATATACGTATATTAGCTAAATAATAAACATAATATATGAAGCTTACACTCAAACAAGGTCTACACCTGTTGCTACACCCTGGTACAAACAATCATTAGATAGAGAAGCAACAACATTTGAATCTGTAGTTTATTATGAAAACAAGTGAAACAAATAGTGCATGCAAGATAATAATTCTCAAGGTATCACTGAAATAGATTTTAACATTTCGCTTTCTTTAACAAATATACGCTTATTATGTTATATAATCCACAGCTGATCTGAACCAGCAGACTCAGCACTAAACATGACCAGCATCAGTAATTATTCTGGGTTTAGGTCATTTAACTTGCAGATGGGCATATGCGCCTCAAAAATCAACTCCAGCCTCTCTCTCTCCCTTTCAAGAGCAGTGATCTCTTCCTCCAGTTGAGTCTTCACATGTTCCAAATGATCCGTCTCCTGAAAGAGAAAGCACAAGCTCAGGGCATACGGCTAATGGCTAAACATGGTCTATAACACAAATAAGTACTAATCTCACATTCTGTAACGTGTCTATAAGCATCCGACGACGGTCCCGACACCTGGCAGCTGCTATTCTGTTCCTTTGCCTGCGGATCCTTATCCTGTCAAGTTCCTCAGAGGACATCTATAAATGCCGAGAGGGTTTTAGCAAGGCAATTCCAAATTTTATTTAAGAACCAAGCTTCAGTCTAAAAGAGTGATGGTGCTGCCATCTTATGGCTGATATCAAGAAAACAAACACACAGCAGTTCTACCCAATTCCAAATATGCTGTTCCTGTTACTCATCCACTGGCACCAATGACAACATGATCCATCCTTCTGAGCCTGCGCTTTAAGATTCCCGCTCAAATACTACAGCGCTGACTCACTGCACATGCCCAATTGTGATTCAGGTGTGAGTCATTTCACTCGTTTACCATAAATGAATGAATCACTGGAACCCTTCAAGTTTACTTTCACTATTTTCTGCATTCTAAACTCTGAAAATATCAGAAATTCCAATAACTTACATGTTTGTTAGCATGTCCTACTGAACTGTCCCCCACTGCTCCATTACAGGACGGGTCAGGACTGGAGCACTGCGACAAACAGGGACAGTTGGGCATGGTGGTGGGTGTGAATGAGGAAAATGTTCCCAAGTTGGTATCTGGTTGGGAAAGTAGAGAGGACTGCAGAAGCCACTGAAGATCTGGACTAGATGTAATTACATCAAGATTTGGGCTGGATGTAGTGCCCTCAGTAGGATTCTGCAAAAAGTAAATAACAAAAAATAAATACATGAAAATAAATAAAGAAAAATGTAATATTTAGGCTCAAAAACAATTAAGAATTTTCATATTCAAAATAGCTAACAATTATTTCCTGTTCTATTGTATTTCTTCTAGATTTGGTTGCTTTTAAGAATATATGACACTAAATATCTTAAAATATTAATAAATAAATAAATACGTACCGGACGCACGTGATGAGCCGTTGAGTTCTCCGGGTCCATCCATGCTGGAGAAATTTGGGAATCATGCATACGATAATACGATTCTCTCCCTTCATTTTGATTCATTATGATCAAACCCGATCCGTATTCTTTGAGTTCATATTATTTCTGTTCGCTTAAACCCATCTCCCGTGCTGTTAATTGCAAAACAGGCCCACAAAGGCACAAATTCGGTAGCCAAAACTAGGATAAATCCATCAGAGCGAATGATGAAAAAATAAATCAAAACACGTGCTACAAGTTTTCTTAAAGTGTTTCAGCGCCTCCTCACACCCACTCTCTCTCTCCTCCCCATCTCCGGAGCATCTATCTTCTCCAATCTATCGCCTTTTCTCCTCTGTTTCTAATGTCTTTCAGTTATGAAGACCTTCTTGCCCACAGCGCCAAATAACCGTCACTGAAATGATATTCGCTAGGAAACGAAGTAAATCTCCTAAATGTAATCCTTGTTGTTTGAGAGCTACAGAAGCTTCCGTAGCTCACACCCTTCACATGTTGAATTTCACTTACAGACATCTTTTGCCAAGTGACGGGTAGGTTTGAAATGTATGAATAAGCGAACGGTTGCGGAACTGGTAGAACTTCGTGAATCACGGCACTGGGTAGAGAACAGGTACATGCCCATGTTTCATGGCGGGCTGGTCTGTACTGAGAATACATTAAAATTAGGAAAAAACTATTTTTAATAACAATTATTTCATTTCACAATTATTTTTGTGCATCAGGCATACATATTCAATGATTAATGAAAAAAATTACTTTAGTAAGTTTATTTCAAAATGTTTATCTTTGTCTGCCTATCTATATAACTTTTATCAACCAAATCAATTGTTTTTAGATCACTGTATCTGTGTGTCAGGGTCATCTATTTTGACAATATCACACATTTTTAGGCACATTTTGTTGGTCAATAGAGTAACCCTAAAAATGTCTTGAAACGTACTCTTAAAAATAAAGGTGCTTAAAAGGTTCTTCACAGCAATGCCATAGAAGAAATGTTTGGTTCCCACAAAGAACCATTCAATTAAAGGTTATTTAAAGAACCATCTCTTTCTTACCTTTTTATAATATGAAGAACCTTTTGGGTCAGTATCACTAGAGTGCCTTTCAACCCTCACTATACTCAAAAATGTTGGTTTTAATCTCCCATTCGCTTTATGTCATGTCATAAATAGTAGACACTCAAGTACTATAGAAACATATTAGCTGAGCTCCCACACATTTTTTTATAGATAATTATGGGCCATTATTCGACGCACAAACCATAAAATATGTCCACCCTGTCAGTTTTCATTGTAAAATTAAGATGCAAATTATATTTTCTGAAAGGTATGATGTCCCTTTCCTAAACAGGGTTATTTGTTTGCTTTCAAATTATAAATGTGTAAATTTAAATTATAAACACCATGTGTTTTTAAAGAAACTCATACAATTCGCACATATTTTCTTATTTGGAGAAAACTGTGATATTTGGATGCAGTTTTTTGTTTGCATGTTATTGCTCCCACACCTATTGAACACACTGGATTATATAGATATGATTGAATTATTATTTAAAATATTACTATAGAAACATATTAGCTGAGCTCCCACACATTTTTTTATAGATAATTATGGGCCATTATTCGACGCACAAACCATAAAATATGTCCACCCTGTCAGTTTTCATTGTAAAATTAAGATGCAAATTATATTTTCTGAAAGGTATGATGTCCCTTTCCTAAACAGGGTTATTTGTTTGCTTTCAAATTATAAATGTGTAAATTTAAATTATAAACACCATGTGTTTTTAAAGAAACTCATACAATTCGCACATATTTTCTTATTTGGAGAAAACTGTGATATTTGGATGCAGTTTTTTGTTTGCATGTTATTGCTCCCACACCTATTGAACACACTGGATTATATAGATATGATTGAATTATTATTTAAAATATTATTGTAAAATATCAAGATGACAGGGTGGACCAGCACATAATGGGGTGGACACATAACGCAGAACACACAAAGCATGACAAAATATGACAATGAAACATTTATTCAACTTCGAAAAAAATAATATAAATAATAAAATTACAACCTCAATCACATTGATATGTGTTCAGTTTCGTTTTTAGCAATATTAACTACAAATGAATGCTATGTCCACCCTGTCATGTGTATGTCCACTCTATCGAGTCTAAATGGCCGACAGGGTGGACACTTTGAGCTCAATTAGCATATTTAATAGCTTACAACAAACTGTGACTTAACTGTGATATTTGGATGCAGTTTTTTGTTTGCATGTTATTGCTCCCACACCTATTGAACACACTGGATTATATAGATATGATTGAATTATTATTTAAAATATTATTGTAAAATATCAAGATGACAGGGTGGACCAGCACATAATGGGGTGGACACATAACGCAGAACACACAAAGCATGACAAATTATGACAATGAAACATTTATTCAACTTCGAAAAAAATAATATAAATAATAAAATTACAACCTCAATCACATTGATATGTGTTCGGTTTCGTTTTTAGCAATATTAACTACAAATGAATGCTATGTCCACCCTGTCATGTGTATGTCCACTCTATCGAGTCTAAATGGCCGACAGGGTGGACACTTTGAGCTCAATTAGCATATTTAATAGCTTACAACAAACTGTGACTTGCTAAATATTTAGTCTGGTTGTTTAAGAGAATTTGGTATATTTAAACGTACATATTTTGACAATACTGTATTCTAATCACTTCTAGCATATTTTATGCTGACAGGGTGGACATGTTAAGCTTTGGCAAAGAAGAAAAAAGAAAATATTTCAGTTGAAAAGTCACCAACTTACTCACCTCAGCCGTTGAAATTCCCGCCACTGAAGAGACAAAATATCTGTTGTCCTGATGTCACTAAAGTGGATGGCCTTTTCTTAAAGGGGCGGATTCCCCAATACGACAGGGTGGACAACCATTCAAAGGACATAGACAAACTCTTCTTTTTTTATTACCAAATAAAGAGTAATCTCTTATTTAACAAAATATTAAGAGAACTATTTTTTTTTCATTTTATGATTTGACAATATTCTACTATCATTCAAATTTAATGAACAGTGCATGACATAGCAAAATAACGCGGACCCTCTTACACAAAACTAAAAATCTAGAAAATGTATCGAAATAGCCAAGTAATGCTTTTATGAATAGCCTATAAAAACTTGGCCTAATATAACACACCATTTTAGTCATTTTTATGTTAGGTTATCATGGCAAATGAGTAGGACGCCAAAAGTTACCCTACAGTGATATTGACCCTTCTGTGAAAAGGAAAGGTTAAAGGTGTTAAAGGTTCTTTATGGGACAAACTCTTCTTTTTTTATTACCAAATAAAGAGTAATCTCTTATTTAACAAAATATTAAGAGAACAATTTTTTTTTCATTTTAATATTTTGACAATATTCTACTATCATTCAAATTTAATGAACAGTGCATGACATAGCAAAATAACGCGGACCCTCTTACACAAAACTAAAAATCTAGAAAATGTATCGAAATAGCCAAGTAATGCTTTTATGAATAGCCTATAAAAACTTGGCCTAATATAACACACCATTTTAGTCATTTTTATGTTAAGTTATCGTGGCAAATGAGTAGGACGCCAAAAGTTACCCTACAGTGATATTGACCCTTTTGTGAAAAGGAAAGGTTAAATGTGTTAAAGGTTCTTTATGGAACCATTTAGACAAAAAAGGTTCTTCTATGGCATTGTGAAGCACCTTTATTTTTAAGTGTAGATAGATAGATAGACGAAGCAGAATTTGCAGGAACAGTGCATGACATAGCAAAATAACACGGACCCTCTTACACAAAACTAAAAAAAATCTAGAAAATGCATCGAAATAGCCAAGTAATGCTTTTGTTATGAATAGCCTATAAAAACTTGGCCTAATATAACACACCATTTTAGTCATTTTTATGTTAGGTTATCATGGCAAATGAGTAGGACGCCAAAAGTTACCCTACAGTGATATTGACCCTTCTGTGAAAAGGAAAGGTTAAAGGTGTTAAAGGTTCTTTATGGAACCATTTAGACAAAAAAGGTTCTTCTATGGCATTGTGAAGCACCTTTATTTTTAAGTGTAGATAGATAGATAGACGAAGCAGAATTTGCAGGACTCATTTCTTATGCATCTCATTCTACGCCTCTATTGCTAATTTCAAAATGTCATTTCAGAGCTAGTCATTATTAGAGAGTGTGTCTCTCAGTGTTAACACATTAGAGCATTTGTCATCCAATTAGTTTCAAGCATTTAACAGCCCCGTAGTATAATTTCAATTATACTAAACAAGAGCAAACAAAAACGTTTTAAGGACAAAACCTGACAAATAGCTTGAAATACAACATCTGAACAATGTCTTGAGGTGTGGTAACTTTAGTATAAGCGGAATAATTGACTCTACCCAGTTCGATTGAATTATTAGAAAATAACACACACCTGAGGTGTAACGGTCATTCCGCTTCATGTCGTGGCTGCATTACCTTCTAATACTTCAATGGCCCATTGTCAATTACTCCCTTACTTAACTGAGTCAGACATCAATGCTGCTGAAAAAAAATGCAAAGACAGAACTGTAATTATATCTTAGTCAGACCCGTATGACTAAGCCTGTGTCATAATTCAGATGGCAGAATGAGCTTGTCAGCACAAATCCCATGTAAAAAGTTTTATGAACAGAAATGTTTCACAGTTTATTCCTCTTTTAAAATCAGTGCATGCCACCTCCCCCCCACCACAAGGCAACATAAACCAAAACGAACAGCAGATGTATGATACATCAACAGAGGACTCACAAGGGTATTTATGACATATTATAAGGGTCTGTAGGCCCCAACAGTAATGTCAAATAGTTTAGGGTTGTTTAGTGTCCCTTCTTTGTCCAAGAGGAAGTAGAACTTGTACCCTTTGATTTTAAGAGGGATAAATGAAGGTGATTCCTGTCTGTGTGCATGACAGGTCACTTGAGTCAAAGGCACAGTTAGATGGTGCGCTCTGAGAGGTCCCAGCGGTGACTGTGTAGATACTGTGACTTTTCCACCTCCCTTATGAAGAATTACACGACTCACAGAACGACGGCTGAACAATACTGCCAGGCCAACGATTCCTCCGCCTACAACAGAAAAATTATATTTAGAGAGCTGAAATACATAAAAATGCAATATTGTCAAAAAGCAGAGTTAAGGCTTACCAATAATTAGGCACCCAAGAGTGAATCCATACCTCCAGGCATTTGAACCAAGGTTCATATCAAAACTGAAAAGCCCTCCTAACTCAGTTCTGACCTTTTGAGGTTCACCACTATGTTTTCTTGTGTCTCGAAGACTTGTGAAAGCAAAGTGAGCCAGATATGCCCAGAAGAGAAACTGGCCGCCAGAAAATATGGCTAAAAGTCTGAAGAAACGCGTCCGGTCGTGTTCGAAGAGAATCACGTCCTTCGCGACGGCAGTAGACGTAAAGGTATAGGCATTCCTGACTGAATTAACGCGCAAGCAACGTAGTGGCTCCAAGATGCTTGTGATATCATTGACTTTAACGGACTGGGTCGCTGTAGACACGAGCGCTCTCGAAGACTGAATACCTGTCAGTCGATAAGCTGAAATAAATGTTCGACAGGACCTAAGACCGAACAATAAGCACTGAATACCCATGGTTTAACAAAACGAATACTTTTCAGTAATTCTCTGAAATACTGACATGTCAAACATGACAGATATCTGTATATTTTGACACAATAATTTTATCTAACATGCTGAGCTATTTGAACCATAGACAGAACGGCACCAGGTCGACGCCATGTTTGTGCTCTTTTAAACTACGGAAGCCTCATTTGTCCAACAGGTCCAGTTCACGTTTCTCCGTTTTTCTAAAAGAGATCTTCCACTTCCATATATTCTACAGACAAACAACACTTATGTTTTCCAAAACTTTTTTTAACTGTTTATTATTATTTATTAATAAAATATTGTCTATTGTAAATATCTGGGCAAGCTTTAAATTTTTTCAAAAGTTTATACAACAGGCCTATTTTTAATTAGCTTATATGTTTATATAATATGTGTATGCAATTTATTTCTTACAAACTGTTGGCCAAGACAATGTTTTCCCCCACATAATAGCCTAGCTGTTACTTATCTAAGTGTTAAATGTTTCAAAATTGTTTTAATGATTAGTCTACATTTTGCCGAAAAGCTTAATGGGCTGTTTAATGCCAGGCTGTGACATGCTTCGCTATTTTTATTTTTATTTATTTTGTACATGAAGGTATGCCTGTACTGAAAGTGGCTTAAACCTACATATTCACTAGAGTAAAAAGAGTGACCCGGTCTCATGCAAAACTGCTTTCCCACTATGTATTAAAATAAACCTTGTCTAAAAGTAGGCTACCTATATTCCCTTTTATCCACTGATGTAGCATCAACAAGGAGCATGGACACATTGTGTATGATCACTGTATTCATTTTCAGTGCACTTTAAAAACAGATAGAGATAAGATGTGTGTTTGTGTTTTCATTGTGTGTGTGTGTGTGTGTTTGTGGGAGGGCTGTTCACTCTTATCAGATTTTTAAAACATTAACATGCTGCAAACTAATTTGCATACAAAAGGTTTGATGTGAACTAAACGCATTACAGTATGGTTACAAAGTAAACTGTATTGTCTAAATGTAGCAACATGGAAAGCACCAGTTTTTTGGGCCTCTTTCCATATATATCCATATTTTAATAACTGACGGTGTCTTAAAACTTTAGTAGACTAATTTATGCGACAGGACACGCCTGCCCCCCTGCTGATGGCCTACTGTTACAGCAATACACCCTAACAACACACACCCACCTCCATACATACAGACAGACAACATAGGCTACATAAACAAAGGAGCAGACCCACACCCTACAGAAAACCTGAAGACATGCTTCAGAAAAGAATATAGCCTAGGTTAAATGGACTAACATTACATTACACTGTGTTAAAACTAACACGAACATGTTAATATTTAAAAACCGTTTACCTTTCTCATTAAGGTTACATTAACATTACTTTGAGAACCGGTTTTACCTGTAGGCCTAACTGCACTGCCCCGTTATATTTCTGCGCATGCGCAACCTCACCTGGGTGGCTTCCTTGTTATAAGGAAAACGATAGTTGAATTGTTGATAACTGTAGAATTGTAGTTTGCGAGAGGATCCGCTTAAAACATAACATAATTTAAACGAACATAAATCATTCGCTAGCGTTTTCGAAAATGCCTCGCGCATTCCTGGTCAAAAAAGTGAACATCGCTGCTGAAAAAAGAAGCTGGAGTGAGATTCCGGATTCCGCGCGAGGGGACGTTTACATACCTGGTGAGTGTCTCGATAGTGTTCGCGTGCCACTGCGTGCATGGGGAGTTAACAGAATTGAATACTTAATGCATAATTAGCTACTTTATTACATAATTAATTGTTGGCCTATATTGACGATGGTTGTTGTTGGAAACAAATCACTTGACAAATACTAATCTAAGAAAACTAGTTTCTCGTTATATAAAATGTTATGATAAGGTATTCTGAGTAAAATAGTTTTATACAGTTTTTTTATTTTATATTTTAAAATGTTTATAAATTACTTGATATTGTGGTAACTTGTGATGTTGTACTGATTACTTGTATTAAATAATTTTATAGACTTCATACTTTAAATAATAATAAAAAAAGAACTTAATGCATGGAACTAAATGAGGAATTAAAAAAAGCGTACCTGAACACAGTGACCAGTCAAAATCTGTTGCTCTCTCTGCTCTGACTTAAAAACACATTCCCAAACATTCGTGATCTTTCTTCCTTACAAAACCCACCTTAAAGCATATCTTTTCATTTCTTGTTTCTCTGATCTCTGACTGTATGATCGGTTTCATGCCATGGATTTCATGTTTATCTGTATTTTGTTTTTCTGTCTGCTGTCATCTGTTCTGTTATTGTAAAGCGACCTTGAGTTTGCAGAGAGGCGCTATATAAAATATTATTATTATTATTAATAAAAATCTCTTTGCTCTTACTGCTCCCTATAGAGTCCGTTTTCCCACCATACTTGCATGAAGTCTCGGAGGGCAGCATTGCAGAGTTCTCCTGCTTCACAACTGCACAAAAAAACAACACATTTCTACAGGTTCAATCACATGTGTTGTCTGCACAGCTGCCATCTTCTGCTGCACAGGGTCATCCTGATCACAAGCCAGAATGCCACATGAGGACCCAAAGACGGCCTTACTCGCACTCAAAGATAAAGGTGAGACAGTTCTTTTGGTTTAAAACACATTTTAATTACTATTTTTGTGTGTGTGTGTGTGTGTGTGTGTCAAGAACATCTCTCTCCATTCTTCTCCCATTTTCAGATAACTACAGGTAATATGCCATCTCCAGTCATCCCAGATAATGCAAACAAATTAGCAGATATACCACCCGCTGCATCAGTGTTGTCCTGCCAGGTGTGCCAGAAGACATTCACTACAGCACGTATGCTGAAACGCCATGTGAAGTGCCATAGTGAAACAAAAAAGTACTCTTGTGAGCACTGTGGAAAAGGATTTAATGATGCTTTTGACTTGAAGAGGCATGTACGCACTCATACGGGTAAGTTTGCATTTAAATTAAAAAAGTAAATTATTATTTACTTATTATTAAATTATTATTATATTTTCATCTCTAACTTTCCTCTCAACTTACAATATACAGGTGTGAGACCCTATAAGTGCACTTTGTGTGTTAAAGCCTTCACTCAGCGCTGCTCCTTAGAATCTCACCTGAGGAAGATCCATGCTGTTACTCAACAATATGCCTACAAAGAGCGTAGGGACAAACTATATGTGTGTGAGGAGTGTGGCTTGACTGCACAGACACGGAACGGTCTGCAGAATCATCTTCTAGCTGGACATGCACAGAGACTTATAATGACAAAAAACAACCATAAACTGACAGGTTACACATCTGGAGGTAACACATCACCGTGTTCACCCGAAACCCCCCACATAAAGTGCTGAAGAAAAAAATAGAGGACCTAGTTATTGATGAATTATGATTAATCATTTTCTTCCACTCTACATGCACTTTTGTAAGTCAGTAATTCTAGGCAGAATTACTGCTTATCTGCTTATCCCTTATAGAATGATTGGAATTAGGAAAATTATTTGAATGTATTGTATCGAATATGCTGAAGCGTATGAAAGTCATTGTACAGACAAAAATAAAATTCTGGTATGTTTTTGTTTGTTTTGAACATATTCTCTTGTGAAAGTGAAGTTGTCTACACTTTAGCTTACTTAAAAAATACTTATTATCAAGTATACTTTAACCCGCATGTAATATTTTTGGAGACTTAATTGCATGTTATTTGTAATGTATTTTAATTCAAATTTATAGGCCTTATTAAATTCAAATAGTTGAACTTAAGAAAGCTTTTTTGTCTGCACATACGTATGACTTATACATCTTTATGTGTAATTTCATAAAATGTATTATTGATTTTTAAACTAGAAATAGTCTACTTTAATGTCCTTTCTATTAAAAATTTAGTTAAATATATTTGTAATTATAACGTTACAATTTAGTAGCTACATTTAAAATAGTCTATTACATTAAATGTAGGCTATAATAACAGTATACAGTTAAATATTTTACATGTACACATCAAAATAAGTGTACTTATTAAAACAGTCAAATTCTAGTCAACATAATAGTCAAAAATAATCAAACGTTTTACTTTACAGTAAATCGCTATTATTAAAAAGTGTTCTTAAATAGTCACAGTCATGCTCTTTAAGTAAAAGTGGTATGTTATAGCTTATAATTAATAGCCTGTTAAATTATCTCACCAATAAAAGGTGAACATTTATGTATTTGCGCCATTTTTTCCCTAAAATATGATATAGTTTTATAGGAGTAGGTTTCATAGAGTTGGCAAATACATTTTTCATAAGTTTGTAGGTACAGATGTTCTTGGCCGTTTTTATGAGGCTTTTTAATAGTGTTCATATCGATATCGGAATTATATCGTATCGACCGAAATTAAGAAATATATCGTGATATAAATTTTGGCCATATCGTCCAGCCCTAAACTAGACTAAACGAAAACTAAACCTCAATTTGAAACCCTGGGCTTGCACACGCTGTCAGCGGGCTGGTACGAACTGGCCAATTATTAGGATTTGAAGGCGCGTTTAAGGATGACGTCAGAGTGAAGTCCGCAAGGAGACCGTTCAGGTGAAAGCAGGTTGAGGTGGAAAATACGAGATGCTCGGGAAGGAGAGTCTGAGGATTCCGTCATTTCGAGTTCAATTAAAACGTAGAGAGAATATAATCAAAGATTAATCTCGCCGCAACTGATTACGACACACGGTGATCTGCAGTCTTCGACAGAGCAGCTGTGTATGATGCGCGCGCTGCCCAGCCATCGCTCCGTCTCGAGCGTGCGATGCTTTTGTCACACAGACTGAGGGGAAATCAAGCGCGACAGTTACCCGTTATTCTTGATCCTTGACCGGACTAGAATCCAGAAGAATCGCTACTGGGATAAGGGGATAACCTCTGTAAGATACGAAAGGGAACGGACGCCTCTTTTGGGGATGCTCTTTTGTACTGAACGTCGCCACCATAGAAACGTGGTGGCACCCGCCGCTGATGGGGTGAACTAGGTTACGGAGAGGTCCTGACGGTGGACCGCAGCGCTACTTTTCATCCTGGACCGTGTGTGCAGACATAATACATGTTAGTGAAAAATGCAAGGGGTGACTGTGACGGGAGAAGCGCCCACATTGAATGGGGGCGGAAGAGAGGAGGTAAGGCGTGAAAATGTTGGTAAATAAAACCACGAGTTCTTTCTTGATGTATTGCATGTCTTCTGAATATGTAGAAGGTGAAATGCGATGAAAAGAAAATATCGTAGACATGTGTTTGAGTGTACATATATATTATAGCCTACGTTTTATATTGTATAGATATTTTGCTACACAGTTCTGTTGCATGCATTATGAAATCATTAATACTAAGACAAATTCAGAAATAATACATACTTTTTAGTTAGCTTGCCTGTAGGCAACCGTGTGCAAAAATGAAAGGTAATTAATCAAAAGGTTTTACTTAGGCTATGGTGCGAGTGATTGCTATTCATTTTTACTGATGTCAGAATAAAATATGTTTAAATAAAAATGTTATTTGCACTACACATTATCACACTACGTGACAATCTAATAAAATTAGCTTATTTAGGAGCCTAAATTCCTTTATTTTAATTAGCTGTTAAATATTAAGGATAGGCCTATACACAAATACAAAAAAACCGTCTAAACACAGACGAGCTGTATCTACAATCAATAACCAATGATGCTTCTAGTTAACAGACTTTCATTACAGGCAAATAATTTATATTACTCTTACTACTAAATGCGGTGTGATCAAGCAAAAGCTTTTTTTTTGTTTATTCAAAGTCACCTTCATATTTATCTATTTTATTACCATCATAAATGTGGTTGCAAAGTAAAGAAAATTGGTACAGCAGAGAGCTAATCACATTAAGAAAATATGATTTTGAAATACTCCCTTATGTGAAATCATGCTGTGCATTAACACTGCATTGCTTAGTGCATTAAAAAAAGGTGTTAGGATATTTTTTTAGATTTACCAGTATTTGCTTAAGACATTTGACTTTGTTTAATCTGGATTGGAATTGCCTGTTTATTAAGGGGAGGGGCCTGTAACCTGTCTATATGCTATGTCACCAATAGGAACGATGAAAGCTAGTAGATGAGAATGCACCCCCCATTATTTCCATTTCTCTATTTTGCCAGATCTGTGATAGAAAGAATGATATCATGCATCTAATACAGAGAGGATTGGCTAAATACATTCATATCGCTATTTGCCTTCTGTTTGTTATAAAAAATGACATTTTCAGAGAAACCAATCTGCAAACTGCTTACTTATATGAAGTTAGATAGAAGCAAAGATTTTAAAAGTAAAAAACTACATCACCTTAAATGTGTGCATTGAAATCTAGGTTTTCTTTGCACTCAGATTTTCTTACTTTGACTTTTCCCATCTGGCTCACAACGTTTATCTTAGATAACTGGAGGTCAGGTCTCAGTGGAGGCGTTCATTATTTTCTGGACAGTTATTCATTCAGTGTGAAGTTCATTAAAGAAAATCCAATAATTAACACACACACTTTTCTGACAGCACACACAGTGCCTTGCATTACTTTAAATGTATTATTTGTGACAGTACAAGCCTTCTCTCTATTCTTTCTCTCACTCACACCCTCAGTTGCTGAGTTTACCCCCCATATACTGTTACAGACCGATCGATAGGCTGAGAGACAGTGGGGGATGGGAAGTTTTTGTAATCATTATTGAGTTTTCATAATGTTTGTGCTACATTGTCACATACAAACGTATCAATAATTTTAGCTGCAGCTATTTCTGTTTAGTGACAGCTCTCAGTTTACAATGTCTGTCGTTCAGCTGTTCTCTGCTTCATACAGGGCAGTGTGTCTGCCAATGAGTCTGTATGCTTCTTTCGTGTTGCTTTGTGGATTAACGCATCTCAGTGAGCACTCGCCTGGTCAAATAGAAATAGATGTATATGCTGACAAGGCAATTAAGACTTTAAGAGGGCACTCAGACTTTCCTGTTTTAATTTGAGTATCCCTTTCTCCTCTGCTTTTTACCATCGTTAGTATATCCACACGCCTCTAACTCATAACTAGTCTCTCTCGTGTACTAGCTATGCACTGATTAGTGTGCTCTGTAGCCCAAACACTGATGCATTTCACTCTCAATATCATTTGTTCAGACTGAATATTTTATGAGTCCAGTGTCCTTCATCTCAAAATATTGCACTCACAAATAGAAATGAAAGGAAAGCCTCTAGCAGAGATGGGAATCGTAAAGATATTAGTTTAAGGTACTAATATGCTCCCTTTAGGAGTAAAAAAAATCTAAAACTGTACCTACTGAAAAGGTATTGTCCCAGTGACATATTTTGTACTTTTTTTCTGAGAGTGTGGGGTGTGAGCAGATCATACAAAAATGTACGAATAATGTAAAAACCTAATAAAACCTGAATATGAACAGTATTATACATATTCAATATGAATATGATTGTTTCTCGGTTCCCAACTTATGTTTTATGCACAACCAGCAAGTAAACTGAGCGAAAACAAACAGCCACTTGCTTTTGCTGTCTTATCCCCTTTCCCAAGAGGGCAAATAATGTATTGACTCATACACACTTGCAGGAAAACACTTACACTTGGGCTTGATTTTATTATTTTTGCCTCTCATGTAAAAAGCATTCAAATACACATGATCATATGACTGCAGACATTCTCAGGGCATCTAAATAATTTAACCTATTAAGAGTGGCTCTGAGCAAACTTTATCCACTATTTATACATCACTGCCATGCAAGTGTCCTAATCACAGCCTCCAGTATTGAATCTCACTGAATATCATTCACATCTCTTAGGACACATTTTCTTGCAGTACCAACACTAGCTTCTCACCCTCCCACAACTGCACGTCTCTGAGATGCTGTGCAGTGAAAGCATCTAGTAGTGAATAAATAATTCATTTGTGATAAGGTTGCATATTTTATTGAAATTTGAAGGAGTAATGATACTTTGTAATCCAAAATTTACAGACATACAAACCTATATGTGTGCATATATGGGAATATTATTTTTATATAATATGCTGTATTATCATGTTTCATGGCTCAAGTTGCCATTATTAAAAACATGCATAGATATCAGCTTGTGCACATGGTAAAGCTCACTGCAGGCCCCAATGGATTCTATCTCTCCCATCCCAGTTTGCTCTCTTGTCCTTGTAAAAGAAACAATTAAACTCCTGCCAAGAGGAGCACAGCCTCCATGCCATTCTTGGGCTGCAGCCTGCTTTTAGTGCTGCAGTTTCCCACAGCAAGGGCATTGCTCATACTATTTGCTGATTTATGTGTGTAAGTATCTGTGTGTGTATTAGAGAGTGTGTATGTGATGTTGCTAAAGAAGAGACAGCAGGGAAAAAGGACAAAGAAAGGACGAAAAAATAAAATATTGCAGACCATAGAAACCGTAGAAAACCTAATCTTTTTGTGCCATACCTTTCAGACAAACTGTATGGTTTGCTTTTTCTCCCTCCTGCTAGTTTGGAACCAGTTCATCTTTGCACAT